AAGAACTTTCCTGGTTGTTGTAGCGATTGTCTTCCTAGATATTTTTAATGTACACAATCAAATTTGTTCATGTTTTCCTCTACTGTTTTGAATTTTTATATCATGGGTGGAATTAATTTTATTTGTACTATCTAACTTATTCTTCTGGTAGCTGTTTTATTATTTTATTGTTGTTCTACTGGGAATTTTGCAAAGGCATTTGACTGTATAGATTCTAACAAATTATGGACAGCTTGGAGGAGACTAGCGCTTCCAGAACACTTCATTGCATTCCTTGTGAACCTGCACACGGACCCAGAGGAAGTTGTGTGAACAAAACCAGAGCGAACTGCAGGGTTTAAAGTCAAGAAAGGTATGCATCAGGGTTGTATCCAGTGATGGGATTCAAATTATTTAACTACTGGTTCGCTGACCTAATGAATGTTCTATGTATTAAAAATGATATTCCACACAAAAAAGAATATGGTGAAAAGCATTAGGTAGAAAAACCAGCATACAGCTTAAAAAAATAGGAGGAAAAGTACAATTGAAAGGGACTTGTAGTCTTAGGTGACAAGTTTATTTCAAACAAACAAACAAACAACAACAAAAAGCACTATACAAACTTGACTATGTATCATCATGCAAAATAGCCATATAAAATATTGAAAAGCCCTCAAATATTTATCTGGTTATACTTGAAGCATGGGAATTTTCTTTCTTTCTACTTATCTATTGTTCTCAAATGTCCTTTACAACAAACATGTATTACTTTATATTTATAGACATATATATTGTGACTACTCAGTAAAAATTGGCAGAAACATGACTTAAATTAATTTGAATCACAAAAGGTAAAAGAGTAAGGAAGTAGAGAGAGAGAGAGAGAGAAAGAGAGAGAGAGAAGGAGAGAGACGCTCAATGAAGGATTTGGCTCCTGGCCCAGCTGGAAATTATATCATCAGACTTCTCTCTTTTCATCTCCCACAATATCTCAGCTCAGCCTCCTCTGTGTGGTGACCTCATTTTCGTTCATCTTCCTGACTGCCAGAAAAGTAGGTTGCCCACAGCTCTTGGCTCACATCACTTAATTTAGGACCCCAAGGGGAAAAGACCACTGCTTCCCGGTGTCTACATCTCAGTTGCAGAGAGGGATCTGATAGGCCCAGCTTGGGTCACATGCCCAGGTCTGGACTAGTCACAGTATCTGGAGAATGTTGTACTAACGTTGAGATTAAAGATGATACGTACCCACCTGAGGAGAGGATCTGACACAGGGAGAAAGGAAATAAATAGCCTAATAACCAGCTAAATGGAAAAAGATATTGGGAGCAACACAGAACACTACCACGATTTATCATCACCATCCACACTCTTGAATTTCTGCACATGCAACTCTCCCCTACTGACCGAAAGGCACCTTCTCCCCGGGCTGTTGCTCTCCCAACAAGACAGCCCAAACTCTTGCTGAGTGACCACTTGTCTTAGATTCTAGGTACCCTGGACTTTCCTCTTGGTCAGGTTGAGTCGAGCTTTTCAGGGTCCTGCGGGGCAAATGTCATCGAAGTTTACTTCCATGTCAGGGAAATAATTCTTGGGTGCTTACTGCCCTAACCAGAAACACATGCCTTTCACCTGACTTACCTTAGGACAGCACGAACTTAAGCCACTCACTTCCTATTGGCCAGATTATGAGACCAGATGTCGTTTGAGGTTTTGGACATCATAAACTGAAGTCCCAATTGTTATTTTTTTGGTAAAATTACTCCCTTTAGACCTCACCTGGCTATTTTCCAACTGGATCCCTGGGATGTCTACAGGCATCAACTTGAGAAACCTTATCCTGCTTTTCCGGTTTCTGTATCTTAGCAATAGATCTCAAGACTGTTCCATGTGGTAGTTACATAATCTTGTGTCAACTTGAAGATATTAAGAGTGAATGGGGTGGGGTGGGGTGTCTTAAAGGCCTGAAGGTAAACAAGCAGCCATCTAGCCCAGAAGCATCAAAGCCCACATAGAAGAAGCACACCAGCCTGTGTGATCACGAGGTGTCAAAGGGATCAGATATCAAGCATCAAGGAACAAAAATCACATCATTGTGAATGAGGGGGAGTGCAGAGTGGGGACCCAAAGGCCATTTGTGGGCAACTAGACATCCCCTTACAGAAGGGTCACGGGGAGGAGACGAGCTGGTCAGGGTGCAGTGTAGCAACGATGAAACATACAACTTTCCTCTAGTTCTTTAATGCTACACACACACACACACACACACACACACACACTATCATCATCCCAATTCTACCGTACAAATCCGGCTGGACCGGAGGATGTACACTGGTACAGATAGGAACTGGAAACACAGGGAATCCAGGACAGAAGATCCCCTCAGGGTCAGTGGTGAGAGTGGCGATATGGGGAGGGTGGAGCGAAGGTGGGGTAAAAGGGGGGAACCGATTATAGGGATCTACATATAACCTCCTCTCTGGAGACGGATAACAGAAAAGTGGGTGAAGGGAGACGTCAGACAGTGTAAGATATGACAAAATAATAATAACCCTTGTAAATTATCAAGGGTTCATGAGGGGGGAACGGGAGGGAGGGGAAAAAATGAGGAACTGATACCCAGGGCTCAAGTAGAAATCAAATGTTTTGAGAATGATGATGGCAACAAATGTACAAATGTGCTAGACCCAATGGATGGATGGATGGATTGTGATAAGCTTTGTATGAGCCCCCAATAAAATTATTGAAGAAAAAAAAAGAGTAAATGGGGTGGAGGCTAGCCTGTCAGTCAGGTCACAGCCTGATGCCTCCTGTGGGAGTGGCCTTCTCATGAGGATTCTGGGAACTTCGTCTCTTCCTCCCTGGAGGTGGGACACACTCTCTCTGTTTCACATTCCTGTTACCAAGCCACATGGAGCCACGCTGATGGCAGCCAGAGACCTGGCGATGCTTCCACCGCCATGGGATCCACAAGACTTTTCACCTACCTGCCTGTGAACTTCCTGCATTTGGCATCATTGCATGTGCTGCTTGAGGCTAAATAGGAATGTATGGAGTAGTATCAGACATATGGGTTAATATCTGACTTAAGGACTTGATCTGGACTGGGTGGGGATGTTTTCTCAATGCTCAATTGCTCTTTGTCCCTAGATGGTGTGAATACCTAACACTCTCGACCCTTAGCCAAAAAGTTAGAGGTTTGAATCTGCCATCCAGAGGCGACTAAGGAGAAAGAAAGGCCAAGTGTCTACTTCTGAAAAACCAGCCACTGAAAGCCATGGCATGGCCTCGAGTCAGACGAGACTGCACAGCAGCTGGTCGGAGGTAGTGGTGGCTGAGTGGTAGCGTTGGCCTCCCTGTGGGAGGACAGGGCTCGGTTTCCCAACCAACACACCTCCTGCGCAGCCACCACCTACCCATCGGGACGCTTGCCTGCTGCTTGTTGTCAGACAGGCTTCAACAGCGCTTCCACCCGAACATCGACATCCAAAACAATCAGCCACCGAAAATCTTATTGATTACAATGCTCTGATTTATTATTGATTATGGGGGTGGTGTGGGACCAAGCAACATTTTCTGTCGTGTAGGGAGTCTTCGTGAGCGGGGCAGCTAAGAAGAGCAACAGCCAGGTCCCAGGTCTTTCCTGTCTCTTTAACTTGTATTTGTGTTATTGGGGAGAGGTCACATGTAGCCAGTTGGTGGGCTTGACCCACCCACTTTCCACCTAGCAGTACAATGCTCCAATTGGCTTGTGGGAAAGAGAAGGGGGTTAGTTTTCTAAAGGTGGATAGGTTGGGAGGCCAGTGGAGCGGTTTTACTCTGAATCACAGAGGACTCAATTCGCAGGGGGCTTTGTTTGCAGGATCCAGACTCCCCTCTGCTTTCATTAGGTGAGCAGGGTTGGATCCAGGATTGTCCAGTGAAATGGGTACAATGTCTGATGGCAGTGGGGCGATGTGTCCACCTCTGCAAGAGGGCTTCCTAGCAAAGGAGAGAAGGGATGGAAACTCATTCTGAAGTTGACGACAAGTTCCTCTGTAACCTCGTTAGAATCATTGACTTTCGCTTTATTAAAAAAATCAAATCTGAACGGCTTGGGTAGAAAAAATCCCGTAGGATCACATTCTAATCTTTCAAAATTGCAAGGCGATTTCAAAGAGACCAAGAAAAAGTCAGAACCGGAAAGCTAGTGAGAGAGCAGAAGTCTTTGTTGCCTTCTCGTCACGACCTCCAGGGAGGCAAGAGCCAGTCCGTGAGCATTCAGCATTCGTGGGTGCCTTAGCTTCGGTCCAGGGCAGCTTCCACGTGTCTGAAATGAGTGCAGAGTAAATCTCAGGAGAGCTTTTAGAAGGGCCTGACTCAGCGCTACCCCTCATTGTCATCTACATGTTCTACTTGTATTAAAACAGGGACCTTAGAGTCATATTAACATTCGTTGAGTGCCTATACTTCCAACCCAGGAAGTTCCCTTCTCATCAGTCACTCTCTGCCCGCACGGCGCCTCCTCCCTCAGAGACTGGTTCTCAGCCCTTTCGGTCCAATATCTTGTTTTCCTCTGAGACCTCAGGTCCAATCCAGAACCAATCCAGAAATAGCGGGGATGCCCTGATTATCACTGGTGATAGGCTGGAAAATACAACTTTAACATTCGTGTACTATTTTTCGTTTCTTTCAGAATAAACTACGTTCAAATAATTCTTGCTTTATAGAGAAGTTGCAAAGAGAGCATGAAGTGCCCCTTTATCGTCTTCAGTTTCCTTCGTGCCCACCTCCTGTAGGCACGGAACATGGGTCAGAACTAAGAAGTCTACATTAGCACGTTCCTGTTCACTGCTCTAGTTTTTCACTAATGTCTTTTTTCTTTTCCAGGACCCAATCCAGGATAGCACATTGCATTACTAAATTTGAAAACAAATTATTTTTTCAAGTCGTTTCCTGTTATGACAATGATAAAGAACAGGGCATTTGACTATTTAAGATCAGTGATTCATTAGCCAAAACAACACACGTTGTCAAGCTGCCACTTGCTCTGAGACTGTCGGCTCCTGGGGGCAGGTTCTCTGTTACTTGTTCGGCCTGTCCTGGCCACATATCGTTTCAGGCATTTCTACAGAATGCAGCTTTCGCAGCACCAAGAGTTGAGAGCGAAGTACAGACAAAATCCAAAGCAGTCTATCCTTCGGTGGAAAGCAATGTCCTTGCTCCTAATGTAATTAGTAGTGTGGGAGACAGAACTGGGAAGAGAGTGCATGCAGGCAAACTCTCCACGTTCATACGTTAAGGAGTCTGGGAGGCCATGGCTCCTGTGGAGGAAACCTTCACGTTTGTGGGTTGGAGATACGTCCCACTCACATTCTCCTAAGCAAAAGTTATTCCCCAAGATGTTCCCCATCATAATGCCAAATCTAAGGTGCTGTTTGCATGCTCATTCACTACGCACTTGGAGGTCGACTGCTTAAAGGCTATCTGCCTGAAGGTTATCAGCCATCTAAGGCAGTCAGACCCGATGGTCTGTCCCACCGTCAGTAGGACCCACTCTCTTCTGAGAAGGAAGAAGAAGAGCTCAAAAACACCAAGGTCAAGCCAGCTCAGGAACAACCACGGCTCGGTTGCCATCTTGACTGGAGCCTGCCCATCTTGTTACAGTATGTGCCCCTAGTGCCTCCCTTTCCTACTGCGTGGGCACCCCTAGCTTGTCCCCATCCTTTTGCATGTATGCCTATTGTGTGGCCCTTCTTGTTACATATGTGCTTACTGCGGCCTGCATGCCCCAGATCATATAAATTCGTAAGATTACATTACACGTTCTCTCTTCTCGGACCGGGCTACTGAAGTCAGGACTGAGAGGTGAGCCCTTGCATACTTTATCTTCTCTGATGTCTCCTTAATTTACCCCTCAATTACACAACCGCCCCTTAGACCCATTTGGTTGTGGGTAGGCTGGTCCCCCACAGCAGAAGTGGGATTTTATTTCAGCAACATGCTAGAAAGGTAGTGTGACTATCATTTCTGAGCACATTACAGGCCTCATCCATCCACTTGTCACTGGCTGGGCCACAGAAACCACAAGAAGACCCTAGAAACAACATATTCTTTTTTTTTTTGAAAGAGAATTGAATCTTTATTATCTATAGTAATGATGAAATGGTAAAAAATTCTTTTTTAACTGTTTCTTTTGAAACAACATATTCTTGTCCAACAAACGTGTTCTTGTGAAACCTCTGTATCCCTCTAGGGGAAAGACACTTGCCAACAAAACTCAAAAGCTGTCTAGGAAAGAAAGCTCTCCCTAAGAGTAACCCCGGGAGTGATTGGGGAAAGTAAACAGTACTTTATAATTTTAAATGGACACATTTTCAGACAAAGAAGAAATGTCCAAAAAAAACATAAAATATTCGGATGGCATTAGAATGTAAGTTAAAAAGGCAAATGAATACATTTATTTGTATTTACGTTTTCATTTGGAAATTTGTTTTATGGAGGAATAATAAATTTAACAATCTATCTAGTTAGTAAAAAATGGAAGAAAAACTGGAAATTTGCATGGCACTTGTTGCGTTCTAATTACTTGTTCATATTTGATATACTGAATAGTTGATTGGTGACTTTATATTGTAGGCCCGTTTGCCCTGGGTCCTGGAAGGCCAAGATGACAAGATGGATTGACACAGGGGCTGTAAAAATGGACTTTCACTCAACAATAACTGGGGATGGCGCAGGACCAGGCCCTGTTTTGTTCTGTTGTACAAAGGGTCGCATTGAGTTTGAACCCATTCCATGGCACCTAACAACAGCAATTATTCCATGACGTCATTTCAAATGGAACATTCCCTGGGAGCCTTCTGATTGCTCCTACTCCCTCCGCCAAGGCAAAACTTACTCTTGAGTTTTTATGCTTCCAATAAATCCAACCAAGTTTATATTCTCCTAAGATAGTTTTAGCACATTACCATCTCTTTTAGGGACAGCATCTTATTCAACTTTGTATTTTCAAAGATAAGTAATGGTCACAGATAAATGACATAGCATAAGTGCTTAAAATTGTAGCTAATCGTGTGTAATTTGTAGCTATTTTATATATTTATATTTGGAGCCCTCGAGGCCCTGTTATATAAGGGTTGGGTTGCTAACTACAAGATCAGCGGTTCAAACCCACAGCTTTCTACTCCCATAAAGATTTACAGCATTGGAAACTTGGTGGAGGTTGCTCAAGGCCATGAGTAGCTTTATGTTCATATTTAGCTTCTGTGAGTGTCTGCTTGTGTGTTATGCGGCTGAGGGAATTATTTTTCTAAGTTTTCCATTCAAAAATTTTTGAAAGGATCTTACTCATTACAAAGACTTCTATTGAGGGCATGATCAACTCCTTAAAGTAAATCATTCTGATGTGTAATCCAAATCAGGCACTTTCAGTGTGCCTGTAGACTGTCTGGTTTTATAATTGAACCACATAAGCATTTTATTAAAGCAAAGAGAATAGCACTTTTTCCAGATTTAAATTAATTTAAGAGGTTAAGTAGCTTTGGGTCAGAAGCATTCAAGTTTTTCATAAATTAAATACAGAAGGAAAATTAAAGTATGGGTTCATAATTTTTTCATAAAACCACACAAAAATAGGAAAACTTGCGTCATAACATTTCAGACTTAATGGTATGATTTGTGGATCAAAAGAAAATATAAACGCATCCTGTTACTTTCTGCTCTCAACACAGTAATTGCTTCTGCTCACACTGACCTCGTCTTGAGACGCTAATGATCGGGCTCCAGGCTTCCTGTGCTAATTTCGTCTTCTTTCCTTCCCATTTTGTCTCTGTGGATTAGCCACAGAAGCCTCCAGTTGCGCTCAAATTTGTTAAATTAATTTCATCTTGGCTGTTGACCTTACCATTCCTTCTGCCTGGAGGGCTTCCCCCTGCCCTTCATGACTCTCCATCGGTGAGGATGTCCCCAGCCATCCTACCAAAGACCATCTTTGTCATCGCCTCCTCTTTTCCAGAGCATCTATTGATTCTCGGCAGTGCATTTCTATCTATTTATTGTTTCTCCGCCATGGTAGGATTTAAACTCCAAAGGGACAGGGGCTTTGTCAATAAATGTCGTTTGGATAAGTACACCCACTCTTCACTTATCAACAAGATTAGATTCCAATGGCCAGATTCTTATGTGAAAATCAGCATTGTATCAGAGTGGAAATTGCCTCATCAGATCACAAAATGGAGGATGACTACATCATTACAGAACTTCACAATTATAGTCTGCCAAATTGCATTCTTATGTAACTCCCAAGCCACTGAGAATCATAGCCCATGCAAATTGACCCAGAATCTTAATTAAATAGCCAGCATTACTCTCACCATGTGCCTCAATGTTGCTTACTGCCAGATATATGTCATTAATGTGCAAAGCAGTCAGATAGATTTTTAAAATTATCCTACGTGGGAAATGTTGACTAAAGAAACTGTCAGTAATTGAGGTGTAGCTGTGTTTATAGAATCCAACATTAAGATCTGAGACAATTCCTTAATGATGTATGGAATATTACAACAAAATAGTTGAGTAATGCTGAGGAGATGCATCTCACTATCAATTAAGCAGCGTCCTTGGGTGGCACAAATGGTTAGGGGATTGACTGCTAACCCTAACGGGTAGCTCACATTCATCTGGAATACCCAGGGTGGCCTTGACTATTTGCTTACAAAAGGTCAACCCTGACAACCCTGTGTGCCACGGCTCCACTCGGCAGCATGTGGGGTCCCCAGAAGTCAGGACTGACTTCTACAGTGTCTAGAAAAAAAATAGACCGAGTATATTATGTTGCTCTAAGAAATTCTGTGTTTGTCATTTTGTGCTGTATTGTTGACCTCTTGGAGAGAATTTGTTGCACTCAGAACTTTTTTTTCTTTCTTTTTTCCTCTTTTTTAACATTTTATTAGGGGCTCATACAACTGTTATCCC